CCCGTGTATAGATATGTGTTGAAATAAGGCAGAGAAGGATATTGAATAATTAAGAAGTCAGAAACAATTTAAGATGATCAGTACTGTCGTAGACTGAGGTACTAGCAATTGTCTGCTGGTTCGAGAAGTTGTAAAAAATATATTATCTAACAAAGTAGCAGAGTAATCGGTGATTCTTGTCATAATAAATCGCGGGCGCATTTCCTACCTTCTTCATAAGGAGCTTTACTATCGTAAATATACTTAAGTAAGAAAGGTCGTGCATCCATAACAAGACTTGTGCAGTTACACTTTGGCCAAAAGTTCTTGTCCAGTTTAGCTGAGAGGTTTCAAACCATTCAAATTTACTTTTCCGTTCCATCCCGATTAACAAAGACCTTTTGGAGCTCAAGATAAAAGCAAAATTTGCCTTCTTTATATAAAGAACATATCCTTGAAGCCGTGTTGAAATAAGACATGGCCGTTTCTGTTATATCAAATTACTTCTTATGAATCAGGGGAGACAAACTTGTTGGAAGATGCCTAAGTTTTAGTATATGTTGACTTTAATGTACAACATATATACTCACATTGCACGTCAACACATGCTGTCCGTGAAACAGTCCCACAATCATTAGTGGCCTCACATCTGTATTCCCCAGCTTCACCATTTGTAATGTTTTTAATCGTCAAGACATTTGTGGTAGCACGCTGACCATCAGGTTTTATCCAAAACTGCTCTAGTGGAGGGTCTCCAGATATCTGACATGTCAAAGTCATATCACTCCCCTCAGTTATTGTCAGATTGTCTATTTCTTGTATGGATGGAGGCACTAGGGATCAAGAACCAACAATTATTATTCATTATATAGCTGGAAGCACCGTGGGCTATATGAACCGAGTCCTGTGTTCTAAGTGGAGTCTCGAGCGGCAAGATTTACCCATCTTGCTCGCGCGGGATTGCCCGCTTTGATCCCGAATAAGAAGAAAAATGTATGGGACGGACTTACAAAGTTTGTAACTTTTGAAATATGTCGGCGATAAATCGTACAAGGGGGGCAGAACACCGTAATAAAAAAAGGAAAAAATAAACGACTCTCGTGGGTTTATTGTGCGGCTAACAGAGTTGGTTTTTTTTTTTTTTCTCCGGCTCTGGAAATAAACAAGACATCCTTCATATTTATTAAAGGGAAATCGTATTGCTCATTTATTAATCCTTTATTTACCAAGCTTGCTCGGTCAAGATAGCTGGATATTGGTCTCGTTAATTTTTTGCGTTTTCATGAACCTCGACTTCGTCTCGTTCCATAAAAACGCAAAAAACTGAAACTTGCCAATATCCATCCATCTTAACCTTACGCCTGGTCAATAACACGTACATATAAATGCTTTTTTTTTATGCAGCTCATCCAGTAAAAACAAAATGTGCCTAGTTTAGATAACTACTACCTTGTTCAGCGAGAAACAAACAAATCTCATACTGGAAATAAGAACTGTCCCATCGATGCATCTCAAAAAGCTCTTCTCGCCGGGTTTTGCTAGATAGAACGGTTTTTTTTAGAATCAAGCTATAAAGCATAGTATGCACTGTAAATACTACTGTTTCCAGAAAGGTCGTAGGAAAAATGCATACGACAATTTCGGGTATCTGGCAATCAATTAATTTTTAATAAGTGAAATAAATAAATATGAAACAGGAAACTAACGAACTGTGGATAAATATTGACTTGCTCGTGAATACCAGAGGAACAACACAATGGAGTATTACGTTGTGAACATTTTTTGCCGAGGTCACTTAGGATTTCCTCTCATTGAGTTTAAATTGTTTTCGTCGTTCCTTAGGATCACTGCATTCGCTCTTTCTCATTTTTTCTCGTTTTTTCACCAAGTTTAAAAGGCCGTCTTGCGAACAAAACAAAATTCATCAAATCCGCTGTGCCTCTTCCTTACAGTGCTGTTTTCCATGAAATCCTAAGTTCAAGAAAGTGGGACCACTTAACTACCAAATTGTCAGTACACACTAAATTTGCTCACCTAATACGACATATTGTGCTTCTCCATGCAAGTGAAAGGTCAAATGATCAACTCTAGGGGGTAGTAGGTTTTTTTAATGCATACTTCAAAGGCATAGATTTTTTTCTGTTTTCCTCCGGAAAGCCACCTTTCCCCAAGCAAAGATCGGCTTTCGTAAAACCAATGACCGAAATACGGCATTTGTCTTTCCTTTCCGCTTTTGAAAAAAAGGGGAAGTTCTAATAATTCCAGAATACAGGTTATTGATATTGTTTTCTTTAAATACCCGGTAACTGAAGCAATTGTCATAGTAAAAGTCATCCACCCCGTCAGTCAGTAAAGAACTTAGGGACATGAATAGATAGTACATGAGTGTTCAAGTTAGTGTCAGTAGAGCAACCTATTATTACATTACAAATGTAAGACAAATAAAGTATTTAAGCAAACAAACAACCCGGACGCTTGTTCATGCCCTAATAATTGGGCGCATTGACTATTGTAATAGTATTTTGTATGGGTTATCAGCTAAACAAATACATTGGAACCCTTCTAAACCGGACCCTCGTTAAACCATAATCCTCTCTATACCGGACCTTTTTTTCGGCCCCAAAATCTGTCATACATTTTCTCTATTTTTAACCTCAATAAACCGAAACCCCTCACTTCCGGAAATCGGACGCTTTTTTCAGTCGTCCGTTATCACATACTGACAAAGAAATTTATCTCGTTAAACCGAACGTGAAAGTTTTAAGCTTTCGGTCAAAATCAAATCACACGTTTAAAATCGAGATTAAAACTAAAATTGTAATCATACACTTGTGAAATCCCAATCAGAAGTGAGAAACGCGCATCGGCTAATTACTCATTGTTCTATCGGCACGGAAGCAAAAAATCTAAAGTCGACAATCGTGCCGCTGTTGTCATCATCATCATCATCATCATCATCATCATCATCACAGTTTATTTAATAATAATTTTATTTAATAAAATGCAAAAGCAAGCAAGCTCATATCAATTTTATAAATTTTTATAGGAAGGATTGAGGTATGGTTTAAGTCTAAAACGGGACCATTTTATTTAATTTGGAGCTTACGGAAAGGTTTTGAAAATCACCAATAATTAAAAAATGCAAATATCGAATCTCGTAGCGAATTTTCAATTATCATTTTCCTCAGACGGTATGACTCATAATCGTTTCAGGTTAAGCTCATGATAAGTGGAAATAGTGTTGTGTTCGAAGATATAAAAATTAGTTTGGGGCTTTTCATTTCCGCTCGAAAAAACCAGTCTAAACTTTGAAAAAATTGTAACATTGGCATTTACGTAACGACATAATCTAATGAACCACCCTGTGGTTAACTCTGGTATTCCAAGCACATTTTCGCAGCAAGTACCGTGTTCGGTCAGGAAATCAATAAAATAAGCTAGCCTTGCATAGCAAACGACGACATCACCACTTTCGTCTCAATTTCTCATCCATTTCCCATGGCGAAATTGTTTACAATGTCACATTCCATAAGCGAGCGGAGGGCGTCTGTTTTTTTGTTTTTTTTTTTGGCATATTCAAACGCACTTAAGTTTTAAGAAAGTTATGGGGTAAAACTGAGCTTCAATGTGAAATTGAAAGGGGACAATTCAGTCATTTATACTGGTAGGTACTGGTAGGTCAAATGTTCTTTGCTGAAGACGTCGAAGACGAGAAGCAATCCTAATACTGCTGTAGATGTAATATACTGAAGCGTTTGTCACGCAATTCTGAAATTATTTCAATCACCAAAAATCATTTTCTTCTCTCCCTCTTGCGGTTTTTCGACAGGATTTTTCGGCAATTTTCAAACAGATGGTTAGATAAAGGTATAATAAAATTATTATGCCAGAAGAAAAAATGATGCGTTGATCGATTAAAACTTCAACATCACCTCCCCTCAGGAATTTTAACTTGTGAAGATTGGTTCCCGCCCACCTGGGCCAAAATCATTCAAATGCCCTGCCCAAGTGCCAGATTTTAGTGGGTCTCAACGGAGTTAACTATTAGCGGCAAAAAAACTAGCTGCTAGACGTGAACATTGACACATTTTAACCTTCAGTCGTAAAAAAACGTTAACCGTTAAAAAAAAATAGCATTAGCCGTATAAAATTGCCAAAATTTCAACCGTTAGGCGAGAAAGCCATCTTCCCATAAAGACCCTGATATATTTGTCACATCTTTTGCAAAAGGCAAGATCAGTGACCGTGACTTTTTATTTATTGACCAGGAATTGATTTGACTATTAAAGCTTCAAAACTTAATTTCGAGCAGAAAAACGCAAGCACGAGGTAAAAAGGTTGCAAGGACATGATTTTCAACCAAAAAAGCTTAGCGAGAAAATAAAATTTTGATGAAAATACCCTGAGCTTGAAGGCTATAACAACTTAATTACTATATGGCATGACTGTCTTGTGATAAATTCTAACGGTCTGATTAGTTCTTAGGACCTGTTCGCTCCACGGGAAATTTTTTTGTTTTGCAAAAAAATCTATCGACGCGAAACCATTTTTAGTGCGAATGATTTTTTTGACCCACCAAAATTTTCGCAAGAGCCACCAAACTTCAAAGATGCCGTGGACTTGGTTGGGAGGCCTACGATGTTTTTCTGGGCGAGAAAATGTATTGTCCCTTGACAGATACTTTTCAACTGGTCATCACCTTTCATAACTGATACCAGACAAAAGGATATTATGTACCTACGAAACCCCATTACCGCCATTTAGAGATGAGACTGGTAAGAGGAAAAGTCCAAAGTATGAGACATTTCCTCATGCCGAAGAAAGATACCTGTATTAAACTCTCCAGGATCCGTAAAAGCCGAATCCATCCCAACAAAACTAGAAGTAACTGATGACTAGACAAAATCAGGCTTTGCATGGCAAGCAAACAGCAAAGAAGGGCGATTAAAACATTTCGCGGGGGCATTTTGCTTTGCAACAGCCTTTGACCGGGAATGACATCAAAGGAAACGTGCTGTCAAGAAATCTCGGTACCTATTTCGATTGATTGACATTTGTAGTTACACAAATAATTTGCACGACTTAAGTGCAAACGCTATTACGAAAAAAAGTTCGCTGTTACAAAATTTTCAATTTTTTTGCAAGTACCAAACCAAATTTTTCGGTGTGGTACGAACAGGCCCCAACTTGGTTGGGATTTTGCCATACGCACCTTTTCCACGGAAGCGATCATAAGCCGTGTATTTTTGTCCACAAAAGCCGGCAAATTAAAAATCGATAGAAATGTTTTCCCGAGTGCCATATAATACAATACTTAGAAAAATCACTTGCTCGAGCTTTATGAGGGAGTATTGGCCCTCTGTCAATTCTGTATGGACCTTACTGTGCTCGTTCCGTACTAACACGATTTCTGGCCAATAGTCCTCAGTACGGCCCTCGCGCTAAGTAATAGGAAATTATTCTTTGTGGCAACTGCTAATTTGTCTTCCTTTGCACAGCTGCCGTAATAAAGATGGCTGCCTCATAAAGTCTCTGCAAGCAAACCACAAAGTTAAAGAAAATCTTGAACAACGTGCCGTGCCATTTTGGCAGTTTGACTAGACCGGCGCTATGCAACATTTTGGAAAACTGCCTCGAAATAATGTTTACACAAGAAAACCTGAAAAGAGGGTTAGCTAGGAAATTTGTTCTAAAAAATGCCTTACTAATTCTGCGATCAGTCTAGCGTGTTATTCGTTTAGCATGGCTGGATAACCCTCATAGGATGTAACACAACTTTGTGACCCTCTCCTTCATCCAACGCCAAAAGAACAGTCATGCCCGGAACAGGTGATCCTGTCCGATTGCTGGAGGGTGTGTTGAGAATTGGCGCTCGATCTAAAATCAAATCTCTCACGGCCTCAAATTCGGTATTGCCGAGAGCCTTTGCGTGTTCCGAAATGACTTTACTGCGCGACACTAGCTAAAGTAACATTAGCTGAAGTATCAAAAGCACAACCTTTTTCTCGACACAGCTGTTTTAGTTTAAGAACAGTTTCCAGCCCAACCAATGCCTGAAAAGATTGATTTCCATTCCCGTGAGTTTTATAACTAAAACTCTTAAAGTGCTACTGCGACCAAAAATGCACCTTTTCTTTCCTCCTCAGAGGTTGAAAGTACTTACCCTAAGTAACAAATTTGCCAAATCTTAAGGCAAAACTCCATCGAGAAGTAATGTTATTTTTCCTGTGGATTCGCGATCTAAACGGCCGCCATTCTTCGAACTACAGAACTCCGCGCGAAGAAGAAGAAACTAAGTCGAGAACGGAAGTGACGTCAACGACTAAACAAACATGGCTGACTTGGTATGCCGAGAGAAAGTTGTTTTTCTGATTCCACAGGAGAGAAGGAATAAAATTCGAAAGAATTGTTCCCCAGCTTTCTTTTGCGCATTTCTTGTAAAGGCATGCCCTCGCGACGTTGTCGAAGTGAGTCGATGACGTCACAACTAAAACCGCTGTAGTTGTTTTCGCGGGCTCTCCAGTGTGTTATTCGAGCAATGGCGGAAGAATTTTTAATGTCTTCGCGGCGCTGTTTTTAAGGAATAACGTTGTCAAATTTGAGAAACTTACGCTTATTCTTATAGTTTAGGGTCTAAATGTGAAGTTAACACCAGAAAATTTGGAAAAAGAATTGCAAAAGTTTCGTCGCAGAAGCACTGTAAGATTACTTCCTACCTTCAGATGCCGAAAAAATGTGTTTTTTTTTTTATTCTTGACTAGATTTAAGTTAGACATTTTAACGAAAGTTTACAAAAAAAAAAAACAATGTAAAAATCTCAAAAAGCGTCCGACTTATTTAGAAAAACGTATTTTCAACTAAAAGTTACTAAATCAGGAAGGTGTCATAATCTCATAAATGGGCAAAACCCCCAGGGGAATATTTGCGGCAATTTTATGTCATTTGCATATGGTCACGTACCCTTATGATTTCGCTTCCTTCAGATCAATCATCACTAAAGTTCAAGACTTTATTCAAGTCGCCTGTCCTGCAACACGTGTTCTCCAATCAAAACCATATCCCTCGGGGGTAGGGATGCCTTACAACATTACACTGCTCCCCCCTTAGAAGAGCACTGACCGCAGTGCGAAACCTTGTCTAACAACCTTTCTAACAAAACAAAGTCAAAAAGAAAAATCTAACGGACGAACGAGTTACATTACTGGACTAACTGGCTCTGAAAAGTCAACTGAATGTCATTGTCATGTATTTCCCTAGGGTTCAAATTGGCGCTTTAGCACGAAGGGAAGAGACCCACTCACCAAATCTTTTGGGGGGTCTTATTGTTCGCTTCGGTCTTGATCTGTCATCAGTCTTTGTTACTGGCTCCTTGCCTGTCAGGCCAACAGGTGTTTCACCACCACGTGCTTGTGCTGGCCTTTTGCTAGGTCCATTCTTCCACATCCCATCATCCGCCATCTCGGCTCGAGCTATTCTTTCCGCGGCTTCCTTTCGTGATACTTCTTTTGATGTTTTTCCTCTGGTGACCATTCCTTCCTTATGCCCTTCTGCTTTACCTTTGGGTGTCTCCTTTCACTCTTGTTGTGGTATCCAGTTCTCTAAGGACGGACCTAGATATGGCTTCAATCTGTCAACGTGCACGACCTTAGGGTTAGACCGTGGTGTCCTTTGAATCCGATACGACATCTGATAAGGACGCAGTTACCAAGAAGGTTCCCTCCCGTGGATTGTCTAACTTAGGATTCCTTCCTTTCCTGCGGTGAATGTTATGTAGCCATACACTATCACCAGGTTGTAATGGTTTCCATGAGAGCCTTCTATCATAGTTTCGCTTCTGGCGAATCCCCGATTCCTTCAGGTGTAGTCTCGCATCTTCGAATGCACGTGAAAGTCGCTTTGGAGGTCTTGCACATACTGAAACGAGATGGATGGTTGATGTGGAGTGGACTCTGTCATGACGTCAAGTGGGACCTATATTTCACGCCCAAGCATGAGTTGGTTCGGTGTAAACCCGGTGCTCTCATGAACTGATGACCTGTAAGCCATCATGCAGGCTGGCAGGTGGAGGTCCTAATCTTTCTGATCCGGATGCAAACTTCGTCGCAGCATCTTCACCTGAGTCCTATTAAATCTTTCCACTTATCCGTCTGACTGTGGGTGCAGTGGTGTTGTTCTTGTCTTTAATTTTCGATGTCTAACAATTCACAGATCTACGCCATCACGTTGGATTCGAAATTTGTTCCCTGGTCCCTATGGATTTTTCGTGGTACCCCAAAACGACTCCCGAATTCCGACACAACCTTCTCAGCAATTGTTGTAGCGGTTTGATCAGGAAGTGCGTGGCTCTCAGTCCACTTGGTAAAATAGTCTGATATCACGAGTACATATCGATTACCACGTGGAGTCTTTGGCAAGAGACCTAAGATGTCCATCGCCATTCTTTCCAAAGGAAACCCCACGGTGCTTTGTTGAAGAGGTGCTCGGCGCTTTCTTCCGTAGTTTTTCTTTGCTGCACACTCAGTGCATCTCGATACCCATCTGTAAGTCTGGGAGGTCAGACCTGGCCAGTAATAGCGAAGCCGCAAGGAGTGTAATGTCCTTTATAAGCCCCTATGGCTTGCCGTAGAGTGATCATGGTGGGCTTGCAATGCCGTGTTTCAAAGACTACTTGGCAGAACAATCTGATATACTATCCTGTCGCCCTTGTCACTTTCTCATCTTCGGTATAGAACACCATCCCTTACTTCCATACGATCCCATTGTGTCCACAGGGTCTTCAAGACAGGACCTTCAGGTGCGATGTCTTCCCATACAGGGCGTTCCTTGGAAGATTTCTTCATTTCTATAAAGTTCTTAAGCGTAGTATCCTGCAGCAGTTGCTCTTCCAAGTACCTTGTGGACCACTCAGGCTCTATCTTAATGGTACGAGCTGTGGTTTGATGTTTGGGGGGCATTTCCTCACATGCTTCCTCCGTCTGTAGAGCAATCTCATATGTAGAAGGATTGTTGTCAGGACAGCTTTTACACCACTTACATCGTTCAGTGCATGGTCTGCGCGACATAGAATCAGCATTCTCGTGTCCTGCTCCTTGTCTATACACTATGTCAAAATCAAGGGTACTTAAGAAAGCAACTCACCTTGCAAGCCGTCCTTCAGGCTCCTTGGTCTTCAAGATTGATTGTAGTGGGCCACGGTCTGTACGGATTGTGAACTTCCTGTTTTGTAAATAGTGTTTTTGTTCCATCGCAAATTCCACGATAGCTAACAGTTCTTTACGAGTTGTACAATAATTTCTTTCCGACTAGGAAAGTGTCCTACTACAGTAGACTATGGGCCTTTCTACTCCGTCGTGGATCAATGAAAGTATCGCACCAATACCGTGGTTGGAAGCGTCAGTGTCCAAAATTAATGGCGCATCGCCTTGCGAATAGGCAAGAATTGGTGATTATTTTGAAAGTTCCTTCACCCTTTCAAACGCTTCCTGGCACTTAGTGCTTAGAAGCTCTGGAACATCACCTTGGGCATCACAGTCTGTGCTTATGCTATCGTCATTACAATTGTCTGACGAATCAAAAACCTACACACTTTGTACCGGTTTTGCAATGGCAATAATTGTGTTTGCTGTTATAGTTTAAGGTTCATCAGTGAGGATAAGTACTCGTATTGGAACAGTATTTGACATTTCAATGTCAACTAGAGTGCGCGCTATACAGAGTCCCTTTCCAAGTAGATGAGGATTGTTACTTGGTTCCAGGATACGTAGGTTAGATGTCAAGGTCTCATGGCAATAAGATTGTTTACGATGCCTCAAATGGCCGTTGATGATAACTTCTGAATTTGGTGGGACCAGTCATACGACGCACTAAACATCTGCAACTCAAGGGTTGACTATCATGATCAATACAGTCCACAGTTTCGCCATTAACAGGCAATGTTTCTTGAATAACATCAACCACCGCATTTACCTGCGAGAGAGCATCCATTCCTAAGATGGCTTCGTCTGTGATGTCCACTATGAGC